GGTCGGTGGAAGGATGGTCTAAACCGTTGTTTTCGACCGCATTGGGCACTTTTTATCTGATTAAAAAAAAAGCTCCATGGCCCCCGATTCTTGAAAAAGTCCAACCCCACCAGCGAGTGCAAGTAACCAAACGGGGCTCTGGCATATTTGTAAGTGCAAAGTCAAACTGCTTTTCACATATGTAGATATGTAGTGTACTTACAGTAAAAGCAGTCACCTACTTCTACCCACCATGGTTATCATGGCTTGTACCACGTGTACTAAGGATAAGCAAAAAACATATTTTAAGAAAAATACAAACTTTTGGGACAACCTTCTAAGTCTATTGAAACTGAACAATACATCAAAATAGTATAAATAGTATTGGGTTCATGTTGATAAATTAAGAGATAGGGGCATTTCCTGGTCGTTCAACTAAGTCATCAGAAACTTTTAGTTGCACGATCTGGATATTTCTTTCTCTTAATTGAACAAGATATCTATAAAGATGAAGGTCATCTCTCCCGTCAAAACAGACGTCAAAACTAGACGCCATCTATTGACCGTCTCCACAAACTAGCGGCCTCGGGTCAGTGACAAAGCCACAACACCAGCTTTGGTAAACTGAGAAGCGTCCACCTAGAGACCATGGTTTCGGGCTAATAGCCCTCGTCAGTCTAAGGCAGACTTTATTCCATGGGATCCGCACAGTATTTAATGGAATATTTACAATCTTCCAAAGAGGTGTTTAGCTTGCATATATTTAATCTATGGCCAAAATATAGATGGACATTTTTCTTGGAGGATATTGATCTATAAAGATGAAGGTGGCCTCTCCCGTCAAAAAAGACATGTCAGTAGAAATTCGAACAAGAGAGACAGAAGACGAAGACATCCTTTACCTGCTTACCGAAACCAATGAATCCTTCCTCTTTTACCGAAAAAAAAGTATATGCTATCTTTCATCAGTGGCTAAAGAATTTGACCGAATAGATAAACAGAATGGTTAGGATAAGTGCCTCGCACATGTCATATTCTTTTTAGGGCACCGACTAAATGTTGGTTTGAAGATATGCAGAAGACAATTAACATAATTTTATTGACATCTTGTCAATACGTACAAAAGTGCACAGTCTGTACTATTTTAAAGTGATAATTATACATACAGGGTGTCCCATAAGTCCAGAAAACTTTTATTTTTTAAATTAAAAATTAAAGGGAAAACTAGAATAAGAAAAACTATAACTATTCTATTTTAGGTAATAGATTTAGCTTTAATATATTACCTAAAATATAAAATAGTTAAGTTTTTTTTTATGCTAGTTTGCCTCTTAATTTTAATTTAAAAAATAAAAAGGTTCAGGACTTATAGGCCACCCTGTATATATATGTAATATGGTGAGGGTCTGGTAGTCTTGTAGAATATTGTCGACTAAATATGTGATGAGGTATCCAGTCGACTTAAACTATGGTGTGAGTCCCTGTCAACTCTCGCTATACTTTGTTGACCGAGAGGAACAGTCAGGATGGGGAGTTTTCCAGTACCTCTCTGCACCTTGTAAGACCTTTAAAAGTTCTCACAGAGTACAGGCAGTCGTGGTCGAGGTAGAGGTCCACACAAAAAACGAAGACACAGTTGCACTAAGAAAGTTCCGTTAACAGATAAAAGTTGAGCTAGGAGCGAAAGATGGAGAGATAGAAGATTTCTTACTGGTCTACATGATGGATGAGGAGGACCTGAGGTACAACCGACGAGGGCTCGCGCAGATGGTAAAACTAACTGTATTTTTAGGTTAAAACGGGGCTTTATATACCTTTTCTGAGAAAGAGGGTTTTGCCCCAGATGTGAGAGGGGCGTCTGGTGACATTCTAAACTGGCGCCGTCCTGACAGTTTCCAATCTATCTTTAGACCTTGTTGTTTTGTGACTTCCATCTATCTCGAATTTAGACGTTTTTGCCCTTTTGCGTTAGCTCAACTCTTAATCTATTACAGAGTTTTATTTATTTATCCTCAATTTGTACAAAGTACATTACATATAATGATGTAATGACACATGTCAATAATGCGTATAATCATTTACAGATGTGTTTCTATTATACAACATGAAAATCTTGTTATAAGTTATATACAATATGGGGTTGTTGGCTTAAATTACCATATATATATAACACTATGTACAATGAATATGGCGCCTCTACCACCGCTGCAGAGTTTGGTGGAGAATCACCAGCGGGTCTCCAGCGACACCACGTATTTCGACATCTACGAAGAAAACGTAAATATGTAGAAGACATATTAATCTTATGGATAAAGTACTTTAAATAGGTTTCCTTAGGATGTTTTGTCAACAGGATTATTTTGTGCGAAAGGCAAAACAGAAAACGCGTGCACAGAAGGTGGATAGAAACCTCGGAGTCCTACAACCAATACATATCCCCCCTATATACCATTATCGACAAGTTATCCTTCCATGGTAGACAAATGATAAAGTGGAACATATCTTAGGAAAAGATATGATAACAATAACTTTTTTTTTTTTTTTCAAAAAGAGTTACATGTTTCCTCTAAAAAATGTAACGAATCCATTTACACATTCTTATTCACACCATGAAAATAAAATAACAGTATAAGAAACCACAAAGATATTTACACTTGCAATCTTGACTCCTGGTCAGTGCTGTGGCCCTCGCAGATATGGTCCCCTGATGTCCTGCAGCTCTCCAGCAGTCTTTCTATGACTGTTGGCTCCTCGGTCCCCCTGGTCTTGATCCATTATTGTCTGCCAGGTCATCTGCTCTAGGTCGTTCTCTCCTGGATCTCTTCATAATAATAATAAAAGAATCGGCAGGCCACACCGTTCGAAAGGCTGGCTCACTTTGGCGATCTCAGGGGATGACGATACAGATATCGAAAGCCTCATTCAAAAAATGATTAAAAAAGAAGTAAACAACATTGTCGCTAATAGGAACTCTTCCATCTCTGAACAGCTGGAAGAGAAGGTCTACCTGAAGACAAAAGAAACGTTTGCATCAATTCTAAAACCTCCAAAACTTCCAAGTGGCTATAAAGTCATGGTTCGAGACGGAGAGAAGGTGAGTTTTAAACCGCGAATATCAAACTGATACCAGTCAATGTCAACCAGTGATTCCGATCTGTTTTGATTGCAATTGACCGGGAAATGCGGTACAATTATGTAGAGAACGACCCCACTAGTACTAGAAAATGGTATGAACGAACTGGTCCAATATTGTAATAGAGGTCGGGACTACGGCAATAGAGATACAATCTTTATATTTTTAATGCACATAGAATAAAGCATAGACTACAGAATCTGTAAGAATGCTTCATTCTATGAACCGAGTACAGAATGTATTTGGAAAAGTTATGGTTTACCTTCTATCTTGAGAAATGTTCTCTCTGTCGGGCTGAGAATTTCTCCTCAATTTCCGAACTGGGAACGATTGTTCAGCGTTTGTCCATTTAAGTTTCTTTTTAATTATTACCTTTGTAATGTATAAAAATAAAAAGGTCAGGTGTTGATATTAAAAATAAAGAAGGCATATCCTGACCACGAACACATGTGCTTTTCAGATGGCAGAGAGCGCCATCTAATGGAACATAAATCAACTAAATGTTCCCTGATATTTAACCAACCCCCCTATTTCTACCATTCTATCTTTCTATTCATTTTACCTTCCAGAACTTTCTTCAGCAATCTATTTTCCTTTATACACATTTCTCATTCAATTCTTCTATCGTTTTCAATTTGAATACATACATGGATGCCATAGGCATTGTTTCTATCCCAATCCTCTCAATAATTTCTTTATTCTTCTGATCCTATCAACCTATCTCTAATGCTTTCTACTCTCCCTCTTACAGATCTAGTTTTCAATTTAGAACGTTTGTAAATATGGTAAAAGAGTGCTATATGCTGGGATAGCGTGATATCAGGGTTTACTGTATGCTTAAAGTTGAGCCAAAGAACAAATATCAATATTTGTCGCTAATGCTTCGGAAAAATACAAGATAATTCAACAATCGATAAGGAAAGATCAAATATTCTAAATAAACTGAGAGAATAATTAGAAAAACAATAACATGACTCAGAACGAAATACTATAAATGAATAGCAATACATTCAGATGGCACAAGAACCTATAGGACATGCAAAAATTGTCCTGGTGTGAAACTAACACCTACCCACACATATTCTCATGTCCAGCAATGGCCACAGCCTTGCAGAAAATTGACATGGACCCAGAGCAGCAGCTTTACACACCCAAGATAGAGGACATGCTGTGATAGAGATATACGGAGAGATCTGAGGCTCTTCATTGGACACGACAACAACAACAGAAAATTGACATGGACCCAGAGCAGCAGCTTTACACACCCAAGATAGAGAACATGCTGTGATAGAGATATACGGAGAGATCTGAGGCTCTTCATTGGACACGACAACAACAACAGAAAATTGACATGGACCCAGAGCAGCAGCTTTACACACCCATATAGAGAACATTGCTGTGATAGAGATATACAGAGACATCTGAGGCTCTTCATTGGACACGACAACAACAACAGAAAATTGACATGGACCCAGAGCAGCAGCTTTACACACCCAAGATAGAGAACATGCTGTGATAGAGATATACGGAGAGATCTGAGGCTCTTCATTGGACACGACAACAACACAACTCTATGCTTAAAAGAAGTGTAACGTTTTCTGTTCCTTTCGGGGCTTCCCCATTTTCAATCTAGAAAACACAGTGTTTACTTGCTCTTTTATTATTAATAGCCATTTTACACGTAGTACAGCCCATCATTGGCTACTGCTATTACTGTAAGTGCACCACATGTCTACACATGTGAAAAGCAGTCCGACTTTTGCACTTACAAGTGTACCAGGGCCCCGATTGGTTACTTGCACTCACTGGTTGGGGTTGGATTTTGTTAAGAATTATGTGGTTCATTGAAGCAATTTTAATTTAAAAAAAATTTAATTAGAAAAAAAAGAGCCCACTGCGGGATTCGAACCCGGGTCGTAGCTTTTGAAAGCCGACGGCTTATACCACTCGTCTAATGACCCTTGCCTTCTAAATAAAACAAATAAGACTTAAGTCTGAAGATCCACCTAGTTAGTTAGGCAATATCTGAACATGGCTACAGGAACATGGAATAACTAAATAAACATTAAATTAGGCATTGGATTGTATTGAAGATAAATATTTAAAAAAATATTCATTGATTTTAATATTACAATATATAAATAATTTGTTTTAAATAGAGAAACTTTTTTTTTAATCATAAGAAATATTTTGGAAACCATCCAAATATAGAATCAAATTACGAATTGAAATCATTCCAGATTTAATTCACACATTCTATAGAATAGTGTCTAGGCATGTACAAAAAATGTCTTTTACAAAAATTGTAAGAAATTTGGGCAGATCTTAAATGATGACTTTAATTGTGAAATCGGATTGGGCGGCAAAAGTGTAAAAAAGAGGGAAATGGGGGACAGTGTGTGAGGGAAAGGAGGGGATGTCTATTCATAAGCCTTCGTATTGTAGCTGCGGTTGTAAGCCATCGCTAACGAGGCTACCCCCAAAACACCATTGTAACTCAGTGATACAATTATATTAGTCCGTAACTAAAAAAACAATCCGTTTTATCAATTAATGAATCCATTTTTTTAAAGGTTTTAAAAACTCAAGCGTATTGTTGTTTGCGTAAAATTGGCGTTAAAAAGCGTAAATTCGTTGCCCCACTCGCCGCGAAAAACGTTGAATGGATTTAGAACACTGCTTTAGAGGATATCATCTGCTTTTTTTTTGTTGGGAATGTTTTTAATCGGCTGATTAAGCTCACGAGTAATTAAGCAGCGGGTGGTAATTACGATGTTAATTATTTAAAACTGACGCCACCAGACCTTGCGATAACTTCTCGGCATTTTTGCAGACGTTGGCTTCTTTACTTCCTTCATGTAGTCTGCTCTCTATCTTATCATCATTGTTCATTCAATGAATATTTGTAGTTTTGTTATTTTTAATGTGTGTGTTAGAAATGTATTATTTTTTTATTTTATATATTCACACATTTATTTAATTAATATAAATATATTATTATATAATTTTTATAAATTTATTTTTATTTATTGATTGTTTTGTGTATCGTTGTTTTCTATCATTATTATTATTCATAGAAGGAAGCGAATAAATTCTCTTACCCTTCAATATTTAATTTATTGTGTATTATATATTTGTCGTTCTTTATAAGAAATCCATACATCCTTTATTTATAATCTTTTTTATCTGATGATTTATCTGTATCTAATTATATTTTCCATTAATGTGTTAACAATTCATATACAGATTTTGATCCAATAATATTTTATATATTTATTTTATTTTTATTAATTATTTTTTAGTTATAGTTTATTTTTCACACACATCTTGTCTATACATACTGACTAAATAAGCGTTTTAAATTTATTAGTTGATTTTATATATCTTTATATATTTTTTTTTTAATTATTATTTTAAATATATTTCATTATATTGTTTAATATATAAATAAAGTTACGGAGGTTTATGTATATTTATTTATTTATATGATTAAATAGAAAAATACCATCAAAAAGTTCATTTTATGTGAGATATTGTTTCTGTTAGCTCAGTTACTCTCTCTCTTTTGGTTACATTTTATAATTTTCCTTAATTGTGTTGTATATATATTAATTAATTGTTATCACAGAGTGTGTGTAAGCTCACAGGTAAATAGGCGCTTACCAAAAAAAAAAGTTCCTTTGTTTAATATTAGTTTCCCTTTTATATTTTGTTCTCTCTCTTGTAAATCAATAAATATAATGTTTAATTAATAATTATTGGAATCAGTTTCATTAAATATTCTAAGCGAAGTCAACAAATTGTTACTTTTAAAAGGGCTTTTTTGCCTCATATATAAGTAAAAAGAAATATTTTCTCGTATTATTATTTATGAAAGTTTTTGGATAATTTTATAAATTAATTATTTCACCGAATTTCTAAAATATTTTTCATTAATTTTTATCATTCAGTTTTGTATATATTATTGTATTATATATATAATAGTTTATATTAATACAAAATATATTCATTCAATACCAATATTTTTAATAAAGAGCCAATATTTTTTATTTAAAAATTGACGGAAAGATTTTGGTAAAATTTCTTATTAGATTATTTTTAACAGATAAAGAAAATTAATAAAAAACAATAAAAATATTTAAAAATACACTAAAGTAATTACTAAATGAATTTATTTAGACATTTAATTTGCAGCGAATTAAATAGGACGATACATCAGTAAATACCTATTTCTGACTATTGACTAATATATATATTTGAGAAGTCAGGAATAAAGGTGTAAATAAAGATAAACATGTGGCGATTTTACAATAAAATAAAAGTCAAATACTATAAATGAATGTCATAATTTGTATATAATTGTATGCCCCCCGACCCACTATGCATGTACAATGTATGATTTTCAAAGATTTAATAAAGAAGAAGGTAACTGGAGGAAAGAAGTAGCAACAAAACATAGGAAATAGGTTTAAAGCGGGCACAATTATAAATAACTTGTACAGTCAATACTTCCTGACAGAAGGCCGGACGTATCTAGTGACCGCAGAAGTTATTAGTCGAGAAACACTCAATACTTCCTGGCAAAGCAGGACGTATCTGGTGACCAGAAGTTATAAAAGTAGAGAGACACCCCATACTTCCTGACAGAAGGCCGGACGTATTTGATAACGCGGAAGTAAATAGAGTCGAAATAACACCCGACACTTCCTGACAAGATCGGCGGTATCTTCCATCAAAGCAGCCGCAGATCCAATTAGAAAGATCCACTAAGTAGGTCAACCAATAGGAAAACGGGCACGTTCCATCCTTCGACCAATGGGAAGGAAGACAACTCGTGGTGTTAAATCGAAAGACAAGAATGGTCAGTTGTGATTCCGCTTCCAACAAGGTGACATCTACTCTCGAGGCCTCTCTCCCTCTGCTCATCCCACAGCTAAGTTCAATCACCGCCATGTGATCAGATAATTAACAATCCAAATCGCTCCGCTCTTCTCAAGCTTTCTTTCCTCCAACCCAGTTGCCTTTTATTTTCAAACCCCATCACGTGTCCTGATTATTCCTAACTGTATGCTTCAACTTCCACTCAAACGACTGCGTTTCAACCAATCCTCACCATTCAAATCAAACAACAAGAAATTCCGCAACGATATTGTCACATGAATATATTTATTTATCTCCATAATTCAATGTGAATTTGTAATATATTAATTTGTGAAACAACCATTTACTCGAATCATATAGCGGTAAGAAGTTTATATTAATATATAAATATTTTAGCAACCCACTGAAGACGCTGAGAACTATTTCAGAAAATATATAACAATAGAACTCTATAATTTCTACAGATCAATTGTAAATAGATTCATACACAAAAGAAGTAGTGGGGAAAGTTTTAGATGTGTAAATAAATCCCTTTTCAAACAAAGGCTCACGTGCACATGGGGAAAGGGAGGGAAAATTGCTGTATTATTTTGTTGTTGTATGACGAATCCATACAGGGCAATGGGCCCTAATAAAGTCTTTTTGTTGTTGTTATAATATTTTAGAATCCACTGAAGACGCTGAGAAACTAGTTTCAGAGAAGAAAATATAGCAATAGAACCCCTATAATTTCTACAGATCAATTGTAAATAGATTCACACACAAAATAGGTAGCTGAGGAAAGTTTTAGAACAGATGTGTAAATAAATCCCTTTTCAAACAAAGACTCACGTGCACATGGGGAAAGGGAGGGAAAAATTTACTGTATTATTTTGTTGTTGTATGGCGAATCCATACAGGGCAATGGGCCCTAATAAAAGCCTTTTGTTGTTGTTATAAATATTTTAGATAATAAATCGGCATATATCTGGATTTATTAAAATATTTATTTGCCCATATTTCGGTTGGCTGAACGCCCAAACCTTTATCAAGGCATTACATTTTTGTATGACAAATATGTAAAAAAAATTAATAATAAATTTCAAAAATGTAATGCCTTGATAAAGGTTGGCGTTTCAGCCAATCGAAATATGGCAAATAAATATTTTATTAAATACAATATATGCCTTTTTTATTATCTATCTGAATTAAAATATGTATTGCTCTATTTTTCAAAAACAAATATAAATATATGTGTGTGCAATTAAAAAGCATATATAAGATCAAAATATATTGTATTTACCAATATTTCAGTTAGCTGAACGCCAACCTTTTTCAAGGTATTATAACGTATTTATGTCAGCAACAAACTCAGAGCCATATAACGTCAAGAGAATTAAGTTGCAAAAGATATTTCGCCTATATTCAATGGGGGGAGGGAAATTACAGACAAAATAAATTTTGTAAAATAAAGGTATAAATATTTTAGATGCTAACAATAACGCCTATTTTATGTTTACAATTATTTTGTACTATGTGTAAAAAAAATGTTTATTAAAATGAGATAAAAATAACATTATATATAAAAGAAATAATGAACTAAAATTATTTTGAAAACACAAAGCGCATAAAATGTTTGCAAAGTTGGTTAAATTAAAACATTAATAATATATTGTAAATACACAATATTGTAAAATTTGAAATGAATTATAAGTTGAAAATGTGTATCTTTAAAAGATGATAGCACACAAATAAAACCTTTGAAGACATTGAACTATCATAAAAAATATATAATATTTTTGAAAATAGAGCAATCCATATTTAATTCATTAGATAATAAAAAGGCATATATTGGATTTAATAAAATATTTTTTTGCCAATATTTCGGCTGGCTGAACGCCAACCTTTATTGAGGCATTACAATTTTGTATAAACAAACTCAGCGCGGCATTGTGTTATAATATATATATTTTATATTGATACGTGCTGTAAATATTTCATAATTATTATTTTCATCTTTAACTTTTCATAGAATATTATTTAAATAATCATCATCACTTGACATTGTTTACATAAGTTTTTTTGTAAAAATGGCTGAA